TACTGATTCTACATCACTGCCTGTTTAGCCCCGCCCATCGAGTCTACAGCACTTTGTATTGAAGGTGGGAGAGAGCGCTGTACATTCACTCCCCCCACCTACAATCCCTGCTGGTACGAGACTCGAACCCACAACCTTTTGGGTTATGAGTCCGACTCTCTAACCATTTAGCCCCGCCCACTGATTCTACATCACTGCCTGTTTAGCCCCTTCAATGGTCTGAACTGGAACGTCCTAAGCCCTTGATCATTTAGAATCAGCTATAGAGTTGATTAGTTTATTGTTTACATTTTTCCCTTTATGAATTTGTTTGGTGCAGCATTCTATATGTATACAGGTATGCTTGGGCTGTTATAAATGTTTTTAAAAATCATTTATATATTATAGAGTTGTTAAACGCGATCTGCGATGACGTCACAATCGTGTTGCATTGTGGTCTATGGAGCGGCCTGAAGTGTGCATATGAAGCAGACTCGCTCCCTCGGTCAAAATCAAGGGGTCGAGGGTCTGTCCATATAAACTTCCCTCGTCCACTTCACGAAGTGGAACGCACTTCAAAATGGCACCGGGGATTCCCCCGAGGGGAAGTGCTTAGGGAAGTTTGCGAGTGCGTGTCTAAAACTGGAGTGGAACGCAGCCACTAATTGCATCTTAGCCCCACCCACTGATTCAACATCACTGCCTGTTTAGCCCTGCCTACTGATTCTACATCACTGTCTGTTTAGCCCCACCCATTGATTCTACATCACTGCCTGTTTAGCCCCACCTACTGATTCTACATCACTGCCTGTTTAGCTCCGCCTACTGATTCTATGTCACTGCCTGTTTAGCCCCGCCCACCTAATCTACATCTCTGCCTGTTTAGCCCCGCCTACTGATTCTACATCACTGCCTGTTTAGCCCTGTCCACCTAATCTACATCGCTGCCTATTTAGCCCCGCCCACCGAATCTACAGCACTGTCTGTTTAGCCCCGCCCACTAAATGTACAGCACTGTCTGTTTAGCCCCGCCCACCGAATGTACAGCACTCTCTGTTTAGCCCCACACACCGATTCTACATCGCTGCCTGTTTAGCCCCGCCTACCGAATCTACAGCACTGTCTGTTTAGCCCCACCCACTGATTCTACATCACTGCCTGTTTAGCCCCACCCACTGATTCTACATCGCTGCCTCTTTAGCCCCGCCTACCGATTCTACATCGCTGCCTCTTTAGCCCCGCCCACCGATTCTACATCACTGCCTCTTTAGCCCCGCCCACCGATTCTACATCGCTGCCTCTTTAGCCCCGCCCACCGATTCTACATCACCTCCTCTTTAGCCCCGCCCACCGATTCTACATCACTGCCTCTTTAGCCCCGCCCACCGATTCTACATCACCTCCTCTTTAGCCCCGCCCACCGATTCTACATCACTGCCTCTTTAGCCCCGCCCACCGATTCTACATCACCTCCTCTTTAGCCCCGCCCACCGATTCTACATCACTCTGCCTGTTTAGCCCCACCCACTGATTCTACATCGCTGCCTGTTTAGCCCCGCCTACCGAATCTACATCGCTGCCTGTTTAGCCCCACCCACTGATTCTACATCGCTGCCTGTTTAGCCCCGCCTACCGAATCTACATCGCTGCCTGTTTAGCCCCACCCACTGATTCTACATCGCTGCCTGTTTAGCCCCGCCTACCGAATCTACATCACTTGTCAGGTTTAGGAAATGTTTAGCAAATGTCTGGGTGGTGTTTTTCTTAAATACTACCAAAAAAAACCCCTCTCTCAGACACTGAAACATTTATCTATGTTTTTGTCCTGAGTCCACTATATTCCCATCTGTCTTCCTCACAGGGAATCTTGATAAAGTGGACAAAGGGCTTCAAGGCCTCGGGGTGTGAGGGAGAAGATGTGGCCACACTACTGAAAGACCCCATCCATCGCAGTGAGGTCAGCACCGCCGCACACTCAAGTGCTGCCAAAGCAGTTCATGCACTTGTTACTGTAGATGCAATTACTCTGCCTTTAACGGCAAGATGCAATTAGTGGATGTTCAGTCAGACAAATCTTGTCCTGAAAGGCAGTCATGGTGGATTAGCTTTGCCTTTCCTGTAATGCATCTCTATCTCTCTGTCTGCTTTTGTTTCCTCAGAGGAGTTTGATCTGGATGTTGTAGCAGTGGTGAATGATACCGTGGGCACCATGATGACTTGTGGGTACGAGGATCCTCAATGTGAAGTTTGGCTTATTGTCGGTGGGTGTGATTGCTCTGCCTGGTTTTTCTAGATGACTTTTAAGGTGCATAAGATTTAGTGATTATCTAGTTGCCTCAATATGCAACACCCAAGTCTTAATTTAAATGTGCATTCCCAAAAGGGGTTTGTAAGTTGATGAAAAGCAGATAATTAAATTGAATGCAAAATTAAAATAAATAAATGTGGCTGCACCGTTAATTGAAATACAAGTGAATTTGCAATATAGCTTAGTGTGGTAATCCAATCATGCATTTTAACATGCATTTTTGGTTCTCTTTATTTACACAATTTCCATGTCTCTGTGGATATAAAAGTTGACAGTGTTTCACCAGTATTCCTACAAAATGAAAGCTTGAGAATTTGAACGTTTGAAGGCAAAAAATTCAAGACTAAAATCAGTATTGTAACTCGCAGTGTAAAATAAAATAATTATTAGGCATACAATTGTCTTTTTTAGACAATTTACAACAACAATATATCTATATCTTCATTTTTATAATTAGACTTTCAACAATAATAATACATAATTAATAATAAATAACAAATATAATAATGTAATAATAATAGTAGTAGTAGTAGTAGTAGTAGTAGTAATGATGATTATAATAATAATAATAAGCCTTTTATATAAATCATTTTAAAATGAAATCAAAGTAAGGCACTTACCAAAAAACAAAAAGATTTAGTATTTTATCTTTTTATTTGCATGTGATGTGACCATTAACCAACATCATGAACCATAACTACTGTATGATCACAGAAATGTGGTTATTGAAATTGTTATTAATGAAATATTAGCTTCAGGGGATACTTCAAGTAAATATTTGACATCTAAGGGGTAAATACAAGTGAATTTGCAATATAGCTTAGTGTGGTAATCCAATCATGCATTTTAACATGCATTTTTGGTTCTCTTTATTTACACAATTTCCATGTCTCTGTGGATATAAAAGTTGACAGTGTTTCACCAGTATTCCTACAAAATGAATGCTTGAGAATTTGAACGTTTGAAGGCAAAAAATTCAAGACTAAAATCAGTATTGTAACTCGCAGTGTAAAATAAAATAATTATTAGGCATACAATTGTCTTTTTTAGACAGTTTACAACAACAATATATCTATATCTTCATTTTTATAATTAGACTTTCAACAATAATAATACATAATTAATAATAAATAACAAATATAATAATGTAATAATAATAGTAGTAGTAGTAGTAGTAGTAGTAGTAGTAATGATGATTATAATAATAATAATAATAATAAGCCTTTTATATAAATCATTTTAAAATGAAATCTAAGTAAGGCACTTACCAAAAAAAAAAAAGATTTAGTATTTTATCTTTTTATTTGCATGTGATGTGACCATTAACCAACATCATGAACCATAACTACTGTATGATCACAGAAATGTGGTTATTGAAATTGTTATTAATGAAATATTAGCTTCAGGGGATACTTCAAGTAAATTTTTGACATCTAAGGGGTACAGCTGACAAAGAAGTGTGGGAACCCCCGACATTAGCCAATAAAATATAAAAAGGAAATGGAATACAAATTATGCATTTTAAGCCAACTTCAATTTTTTCGGGGTTGGGGTGAACAAAGGCCTCCTGTAGCGAATCTATGTGTTTTTGTAAGAAAAATATCCATATTCAAAACGCAATAATCACTTTAATGAAGCTTGCGCTCACAGTTGAACACAGAAGCAGCTCCGGGAGCATGACGTATGAGGTCTGCATTGCGCATTAATGGATGGGCGCTTTTTATTTAACTTCTTTTGGACTGATGCATGCAACACCCGCTGACTGCAATGAAATGGATGACGTTTGCACGGAGTTTGATCGAGCCGTGGATGACCAGTCCACTTACCCTGGGAAACAGCAGGTGAGAGTTCAGATCTGGATTCTTTAGGGGAGCCTGGATTAGTTGTAGCACACATGGTTTGAATATTTCCACACATGCTAGCATAACAAAATTTACAGTATTCATTAGCTACCATATCAACATTATATAGAAAAAAAAGTGCGCCAAAAGACAAAAATCTTTTGAAGATATCGCTGAACATTTATTCTACCATAGTAAAATTACAATTCTGGCTTAAGTAAATTTTTCAACTCAGTTTTTATTATTCATTTAAAATTAGACAAATCTGCTATTATTTTAATCGCCAATCTGTTATGTATCAGTTCAGATAAGTAGTGTTTTAATGCTTTGATAACTAGCAGAAGACACTAACCAGTTTTAAACTCCAGTTGCGCAGATGGGGCACGATGTAACACTGCGTTACAATGTGCTATTCTATGACATTAGCGATGTAATTTACACTATTTACTTTAATGAATTTGAATGAGAAACAGGTGAATAAAGACTGACAGTCAATGTTTAATGTTTAGAAATGATTATTTCAAGACATGTAAAGCATCTTTGCTCATTTATGTGGGCCGTCCCAAGCTGCAATGTGTTCATTGTCAAACTCCAAAATCAGATTATTTTTAATTCTTAAAAAATGCCATTATTTTATTTGAAAAAAAATTATGATTTTATTTTATTAAACAAAATATTTTAGCTTGTCTTGTATATTTTTTTTCATGCAATCAGATAACATTTTAAGCTGTCATAGATGTTACAATGCACCACACCTACGGGGCATGTTGTCACATTTCACTTCCAATTTTTGAGGGTAAATAAAGAAAAACGTATACACTGTAATCATGAAACAAAGCAACATATTTGTACTAGACAAGTGCACAATTACTGTGGATAAAAAAATTTGGATTTACACAAACTGAGAAAGTCAAAAAGTGTTACTTTGTGCTATTAAGTATTTATAGATGACTCAATAAAAATACATTATGGATATGCTTGCAGAATTTAAACCCAATGCACCTCTTAGATCATTGGATTCAAGTCCGCTTAGTGCAATGCCTATGGTTCGTTTCAGACGTGATGAAACAGCGTTTAGCTGCTAAACTGCCTGCAGCTGGAAACTACTTCAAGAAGATCTCAGATGTGTCCCAAAACTAGCAGATTCAAGACCAAACTGAGAACCCATTTTTACGTCTGGGTTCTCCGGCATAGAAGTAGTTTACTGATATTTGAAACATGTATGATTTTCTTTTTTCCACAGAATGGAAAAGGAAATGTTTTATAGGATTTTCAAGACGCTTATTTCCTTGCAATAATTATGAGGGGAAAACAAACAAACAAACAAACAGACAAAATCTCTGAAAATCTCCCCATTACTCTCAAACCTAATTCACACTTGTGCACTTTAAACTCAAAGGTGAATGAGAAATGAGAATGGCAAGATTTTCAGCTAATTCCTGGTGTATCTTCCAGTGGGTTTACTTACATATGACTTTAAGCATTTGTAATTTTGAAGAACTTTTAATTATTTACAATAAAATGAACTCAATATTAAAAATAATACATTTAAATTAAAATTAATTTATTTAAAAAAAATTAAAATACCATTAAAATATGTATTTATTAAAAATACCATTAAAATATTTATTTTACTATTTTATAGTAAAAAAAAAATTTAGCTTTTTTTTTTAAACTTAAAAAAAAAAATGTTTTGCCTTTTTTGGAGCTTTATGAACAACAGTGGAGATGAACATTTTTCTATTTGCATTCGAGAAAGGAAATCATGCCACATTTTACAACATAAATATGGGTACATTTAGTATGTTTTTTTATATACATTGTATGGGTACACTACTGTTCAAAAATGTATGCTCTGTTAGATTTTATGTTACTGAATGAAGTGTCTTATGCTGACCAAGATTCATAAAAATACAGTAAGAACAGTGATATTACAGTTTAAAATAGCTTTATGACATACCTAAATGTAATTTTTATATACAATAATGTTTTTATTTATTTATTTTTATCACAGAAGATCACATTTTATTAGTTCCTGCAAAAAACATGTTAAATCCAAAGGTTCATGTATTTTTCCTGCAACTATATACTTTTCCCTTTCCTTAATTATTTTAATCCATTAAATTGTTTGTTTTAACTTTTTAAAGGAACGTA